AAATGCTATAAGTAATAAGCTTGAAATGCCATGTAGTAGTAATAGAAATGGTATTTTAAAGTTTTGAGTTATATTTGTCGCGAACTAGTGTTAGAAGTCACAGATTTCTTTTGAGAAATCGTGGATTTCGTGGAATAAATATTGAAAATCTTGTATCAGCCCTGTATTAGTTCATTTGTTAAGACTATACAAAACATAAAAAATAGCCGAACGTATTTATATCAATACTGATTTTAGAAATTGTAGATATTTTATTTATCGTTGACATTTTTAAGTGGAAAACGTTCACTAAATTTTCCATTACTAATGTTCTTTTTCTTCTTCTTCTTCTTCTTCTTCTTCTTCTTCTTCTTCTTCTTCTTCTTCTTCTCATTCTTCTTCTTATTCTTCTTATTCTTCTTATTCACGTTTCAAGCTCATTGTTTTTTTTTTATTTATTTTTTACTTAATTTTTTCGATCTTGTTTTCCGCACTGAGTACCAATGCTACGGACGCCAGGGAGGCAGCTCCCAAACCTGACCTGGACCCTACCTACCGACCCATCCAACTCATGGACCGGGAACCAACGGCTTTACTTCCCTTACCTTCGGCGCCGCTTGACTTATTGCTGATCGCATATTAGTCTATTTCGTGCTCTCAACTTAGTGTTCTAGATGCAATCCCACACTTATTAATTGAGAGCTTTTCGATACCTGCACCATGTTTGCAATAGTACAATTGAGGGGCAAGTTAAATCATACACTATGCCCACGGAAGTTGAGAAATTTTCAAACCTGAAAAAATCCTACAACAGACCGGGAATCAAACCCAGCAACCTCCAGCATGGTTTTGCTTTGTAGCTGCGTCTTTATCGACTGAGCTAAGGGAGGAAAAATTGACAAATGCCCCCCAATAGAATCGACAATGTAATTTTAAAACTATGATCACTTACATGATACAAATGGACGATCACTTCCTTGACGCTGTGACTCGTCTTCGTTAATGTCTCCTGAAGCTTGTAATTGCTGTGCGAACTCCTGCGAACTGCCGGTCCCGTTAGCGACCTAATATCCTGTAAGGGATTCACTCGAAGCTGTCTATCAGCTCTGTTGTTAATATATATTGTCATCTGATTATCGTAATCGTCCTTGTCCATGATAACGACCGCGTTGCCCGTATCTGTTTTCACATAGTATACTGTTTTTTTCTCTGTTTGGGACCTAACACCACTGCGACCAGTAATTTGATCCATCGTAGTATATCCCGTGTCCTTAGTTTAGTGCACATCGTATTACTCCATCACTACTGAGAAATGATGAAGTATTCCATTTTTTTCACAGTTGTCATTCTTGCATTTATCGCAAGGATCCGACTCTAATTGAAAGGTCCCACTCTTCATACCCGGCAGAGTGTTGAAACACCCTCCAAAGGTGCGCCCCTTTGTAAGTCAAAATTGGATTTCTTAGCAACAATGACATTGATAATGACCATGCATCAGAACCCTAGTGTTAACCACTTCAAACTAGGGAAACATTCTAAGAAGATTAGGAATCACATAGATGAAGACTAACTTACTCATGATTTCCTTATTTCAAGATCATCCTCGGTCCAGCAACACGAGGACTTATCACTATCAACAAGGCATAAAAAGTAACAATGACTAAGATGTGTTCCTTTGATTACAGAAAAATCCTATTCCCCTATTTTGAAGTAGTTAGGACTAGGAATTGGTGGTAGATCTTACATCCCGTAACGTACCACGAAAAGGTGATTTACCCACGTTACGGGGCATTAGCTTTCAGTTTCCTTTTCGTTGCTGCGGCTTTGTTCCTGGCCGTATTCTGTGATGATGTTGGAAATGTATTGGTAATCGCTGTCTCCACGTCAGCCATGAACGACTACACGTCTGGCTTGGTTGTAACTGAGGCTAGTTTCCTGGGGAATTTTTGAGGGCACTTAGCGAATGCTGAGAATAATTCCAAGACAAATTGCAGGAGAATTCTACGGGAAATACCAACGTGGTAAATACTGTTAGAATACAATACAATGCGAAGAGATTTAAAAAACCATTCTGAAAAGAATTTGTAGAACATATGAAGCAAGTTCGATGAAAATACTAGAGAGACTGATAAGCTGCACACCTTGTAATTTTTTTCTTTCTTTCCTTTATTTAACGTCGGTCTCTGTTCCGCAATCTAAAGGGCGAACACGAAATTATTGCGACACATTCAACAGGGCATAACTTTTTTACCATTGGGTAAAAATCAACCAAATTTTGCATACTTTCTCATTGATGTGTATTGTGTACATGCTGTCAAACTCGAAGTCGTGTTTTTCGATTCAACGAAAATGGAGGTGAACCAACGCGAGTTGAGAGAACAAATTCTTTCCAAACACCTGGAATTTCCTGACCTGTCGCACCGGCAGTTGGGAAAAATGTTGAACATTCACCAGAGTGTTGAAGCGGTTCCAGGAGCGGTTGACGTTGGACCACGGCAAAGGAGCTGGAAGAAAACCGGGACCGGAGAACAAAAAGACGGAGGGAAAGGTGAAGCGGATGATTAAAGCAAATCCCAACGTCTCAAGCCGTGATTTGGCTAAAAAGATCGGCATGTCGCAGAGCTACGTCCAGAATGCAAAGAACAGAGCTGGACTACATACATACGAGGTACAGAACTTCCCCACTATTCTAAAAGTGTCCTGGAGTGGTATGAGGCCAATTCTGTCCATTTTGTTCCAAAGGACATGAATCCGCCAAACTGTCCGGAGCTGCGCCCGGTGGAGCAGTACTGGGCAATAATGAAGCGGGAACTTCGGAAGAGCAAGAAGACAGTCAAAGACGAGAAGGACATGTTAAGAAAATGGAAAAAAAAAAACTGAGAAACTGGTACCGGATGACACTGTAAGGACTTTGATGGAGGGCATCAAGCGAAAATGCGTTCAATTTTACACTCAAGGCTCCATCGATTAACTTTTCTTTTGATTTTTGAAGTAAATATATGTATAAAACTACCCTAAAATTTTGGTGTGATTCTAAACATTATAAGAAAATTGGCATGACATTTTCGGTGTCGCAATAATTTCGTGTTCGCCCTTTAGTGCCAATCACCGACGGACATCGATTGCCATCCATTGATGGCAATCGAATGTGCAGGAAGGCAGCTTGCACACCTGCGTAGGATATACTTTGTAAATTATGATATTGATGAATTTAGAAACAAAATTCTAAAAACAACCTTTTGAATAATTCAAGGAAATCAAGTTGATTCAAGTAAAGTCAAGATCCTAGGCATGAAAAAATATGACTCGAGACTTGGACTTAATCAACAACAATCGAGAAGCCTTGATATCAAACGTTGTACGTATTATTTCCAGAGGAAACTCACTCAGATTATTTTATATGAGTTCTTTTTTGCTGAAAAAATGTTGGTTCAAGTAGCTGTTATTCGCTGAGAAGTCAAAAAAACTGGTATATTTATTTTATATTATCATTAAATGTTGTCAACATATCATAGCTTTAAAAAATTCAAGGTTAATATTCAATTTTTTTTTTAAAGATTTTTAAAACATTTCCGAACAGTTCCACAATTCAATAATAAGTGGGTAACAAAAAGCAGAATTCAGTGTTCACTCGGCGGTCGACAGAAGCAAGCCACTATTGATGTATGTCACGCGATCGTCTGTTTACTCGGCAGCAACCATTGTGTGGTCCTCCTCATTGTTCTTCATCAGCAGTTCTTTCGGTCGATGCGTCGTCGACTTTGGGAAGCAACCGTTTCGTGATCAATGTGTGAGTGCTGACCAGGTTTTGCGTATATTGCTGCAATGGAAGCGCTCTGCCCCCTGTTGGCGATACTGCCATCAATGAAACAACTGGAAGCGGCTCCCGTTCTGATGGAAGAGGCTTATTGGATAGCGGAAGATAAAGTGTTTATTGTGTTGTACCTTTTGACAGTACTTTTAAGAATCCTTCGATTGAGCCTTATCAAATAAATTAATAAACAACAAAAAGCCGAATTAGTGTATCGATTCTGATATCAAGATAGCCTATTACTTAATATAGGCTGTGGTGTGAATTGCACCTACTGGATTTATTCGTAAATATATAGTCTGGTAATTTAGCAGAAATTGTTGAAAATTTCCAGGCATTTCAAATTTTCATCGCAGACTTTCAAGAAAATATCATCTGCCATCTCTAATCATTACGTTTTCGCCAGACCCAGATAAAAAGTTTTGTTTTGAAAATCTCCAGGTGAATATGACACCACTTTGATCGCTTGACAGATACGCGTAATTCATCTACCATGAGCAGATTTCTTCAGTGTCTTTAAACTATGTCTGGACTCTACTAAATGTGAACAGCTACCTCCACAGGAAACAATGACAGTAAATCAAATTCCCACAGCAGCAGCAGCAGCATCCGAGGATAATCAAATCCCGTAAATTTAATTCCGCCAAATTGAATTGTGTTGAGGTAAATTTTATTACACCGCTCGAGGGGTTTTTTCAACTGTCAACACTGCACTGCAGGCCACATAGCAAAGTATCAAAGCAGCCATGGCCAGGAAAAGCCTCTTCCAAAAGGTAGGTGCACTGCAAAGCTCACCCAACAACATCAATACAACACCCCGTGATAGTCCAGAAATGGGACGAACATCGTGCGGAACATTTTTATGAACCATATTCTTAATTTATTTATCTCTACGTTGTCTGCTTGGCTGTGCGTTATTTTAATGAATAGCTCGTTCTCTGTTTCTTTTATTGCTCTTAAGTGATAGTAGCTTGTAGGTGAAGTAGTAGTAGTAGCAGTAGTGGTAGTTTAAGCCACATTGTAAAAATGCCACTCAAAACTGGTCGACGTGCTGTTTAATCGCTTCGATTGGTTTTACGTGTGAGCTGTCGAAACGTAGCTTAGTGTTAAGTGTCGATACGTGGGATAACGATAAATAAAAATTGCACTGCTGCAGTAATGCAGAAGAAGATATATGCTAATTTTCCGTTTCGATTTCGTTTTTTTGCAGGAGCAAATCGAGGAGCGTTGATCATGGATTGGCTGCACCCTTCGATCTAGACTCACTGCGGTCCAAAGTGGAGGGCCGCTTCGAAAGCATCGATCGACTGACAAAAGGTAAGTATCGAGGTGTTCTTGGACGACAGATTGGGATTAATTGATTGAAGTTTTAAATCGTCGGCAATCTAGAGATATTTCGTATTGTTTCCTATTTAATTTTAATAACATTCGGTAGAAATTCAACTTAGTTGTTCGTTCAGCCTTATACATGGCACATTTTAATCATTAAATTTTGTTAGATCAACTCAATAAAAAGTGAAACAGTTGGGAGTTTTTTAATCTAGTTCTTATAGCCTTATCATAGTTCACGGTCCACGTATAGTATGAAATGTACACCGTGAACTGCAGTCCACGGCTCCCGTTCACAAATATGGGAACGGATTTTAGTTTTCGAGTATGAACGAATGGTTTTGTAGTATTTACAACTATCGCACGTGCAATACCTAGTTTGAACGAATGTTTGCCAATTGAAAGTTGCTTATGACAACTGTTTTCAAAATCAAAACGGGAAGACCGATGAGAACCAGGTAAAAGCAAAAATGTTGCAGCAGCAGAGTAAATTTTCGAAGGCATTTGAGCGGTTAAATGACAAATTTATAGCTGGCGAGAAAGTTTCATCCTTTCAACTTAGTGACAGAATCCAAAAGAAGAATAAAAGCACCACTCGTTCTATTTCACATCAAGATCAACTACTGACTCATTCATCCGATGTGGAGAATCATGTCTTTAAAATTTTCAAGAAACTCTACTCCGGAGGGACCGTCTAGCCTTCTACGGACTTCCCATGCATTCGGACAATTCCTGCTAGCCCGGAATCGAACAAACATTTGATGGATGAAATAACAACATCTGACTTATGTTTTGCTATTATATCAAGCGCATCTACGAAAATCCTCTGGAAGTGACGGTCTTCTAAAGGAGTTTTATCTCAAGGCCTTTGAAATCATTCACCCTCAATTGAACTTGATCCTGAATGATGCGTCACAGGAGAACGTGCATAAAGAATTCGTGCAAGGAGTAGTGATTCTTAGCCAAAAAAAATGGTAGGGTTGTGTATAAGACACGACCGCATGGTTGACGTAGACAACGTTATGCTGTGTGTGAAATTCTCGTGCATTTTTCAAGATATTGCTTTAAAATACAGAAGAATTAACCTATGAGCTTGGTCCTATGCACATATTTTGGATTTCCTACTTAGTCAAACTTGGTTAAATTTAGTACCTCATAAAAATGCGAATACATAATCTATTATAATTGGCTCCTAAATGTCAATCAAATATGAGTAAGGTTTGCTTCAGGTGATTCATTGAAGCGTTTAACAATTCATTGAAGCGTCATCATGGTTGATAGTCCCTATCACTTCACGATTTCTAGGGCACAAATCTTGGATGTTTGTGACATCACGCATGAAATTGAAACTCCTTGTGCACTACACTGCAGCAAACGTGTGGTTTGTGCTTAATAGGCCGGGAATGGGGTAGTTAACCCTAATGAGATTGATTTGAAATATGGTTTCCACAGCGATTCAACTTCAAAACGCTACATGCAACATTTCGTAGTTGATCGGGAATATCTTGATTAGCCATAAATTCCTTCAATAAGTTATCGCTTCATCTCTTATCTACCGATTGAGCAAAAAAAAAAGTTACTAAATATTGCTGTTTTTTTTTTATAGATTTTTTTTTTCGTTTTCTAGACGCACATGCATCACTTCAAGCTGAACATTGCATTAGGTCCTAAGTAACATTGACAGATTCTCTTCGTCGACTTTCTCTTCGTATCCCTACGGCCATGTAAAGACATTCCCAGGTATTTTTAGCACTCAGATCGATAAAAGATGCTGTTATCTAGCGTCTAATACGGTAAATACAACAAGACACGGTTATGTGCTCAAGTCATTAACGAAAGAAAAAGTCGACAAAGGAAATCGATCAATGTTACTTAGACCTAATGCAATGTTCAGCTTGATTTGGCATAAAATCACTGAGCGATTCTGTGGTACAAATTCCATATCTATCACAGACAGCGTTACCAGATTGTTTTAAAGCTTATCGGTGTCAAAGGTATTAAAAAAATCGGTATTTATCGGTTTTTACTATTTAATTAATTTTATATTTTTGCCGTTTTTGAAAGCGAGAATTTGAACGAATTTGAGAGGAATTGCTTTGTTTGACGGCTTTCTCAGTCTTGAAACACTCTTTTATTTTTTAATTTAAATTTTAAAGTTATCGTTGTCCTCAAGTGGTGATTAAAATTGTGACCAAGTAGTACCGAATGTTGGTAATAAAAATTACCGAAAAATCTGTAATATTATTCTTTTACCGATTATCATTAAAACACGTCGCTGAGTGTGTATCATTAAATGAAACCAAAATATGAAAAATCAGCCACAACAACGACTAAACTATTGACAATAACGAAAAACAATATTTTCCCTTGAAAAAAGCCACAACTTATGACCGAAATGTCGGGCAGATTACATCGTAGTCGTTGCAGTGTTTTAAGACCGAGAAAGCCGCTAATCAAAGCAAAATTTTAGCTTTTGAACTCCGGGGAATGTTTGAATTAGCTTCTGAATGGAGCTGAAAAACACATCCAGGGAAAAACGAAAGAAACTCTCCTGGATGAAGCTCGAGAAAAGCTTTAAAAATCTCTGGCAAGCTTTCAAGACACGATTTGAGAAACTTGTGGCGAAAATTTAAATAAACTACCGGAAACAATTGGATATAACGTCCAAAGGAAGCCAGAAAAGTTTCGAAAACGGGAAGTAAATTTCCAGAAGTAGCCATTTCCAGAGAAAGCCACCAGAAGCTCGGAAAAACCTTCCAATAGAAGTCGAACAAACAAAACCTTTGGCTTATGGTCAAACTTCCAGAAGAAGACGAAAGAAATTTCTGGGAGAATTATTTTTGTTGAGAAGACGAAATAAACTTCCCGGAGACGCTGGCAGAAACTTCCTTAGGTAGATTGGAAGAAACATCTGAAGAAAGTCGGAAGCCAGAGCGCTTACGGAACAGTCAAAAGAAACAAGGACATAATTCCGGAAGAAAGAGATTCCTGGGGGATTTTCTAATGATCCAGAAAATTTTCCTGATATTCAAAAAACATCCCTGAAGACTTTGAAATTTCCCTGAAGTTTTTGGAACATTCCTGGAATGCACTTAGGACCTAGCTTGCAAATGCTCATTACAGCTAAAATGCTATTTTTCGGATTTATGAAGCTATGAGATATTTTAATGATAATTCTTATTTACAAAATGCAAGAAAAGAAGGTAAAGTGTGTGTATGACACATAAAACCTGTCAATTTAGCTTTCAGAGGGTCACAATAGCGATTAGCTGTAACGATGAGCAACGCGATGAGCGAGCAATCAGCGATCATAAAATCATTAGTTGTGACCTTCTGAAAGCAAAATTGACGAATTTTATATGTCATACACAAACTTCACCACCTCTTCTCGCTTCTTACAAATAAAAATTATCATTATAGTATCTCATAGATTCATAATTACGAAAACTAGCATTTTAGCTGTAATGAGCAATTGCAAGCCTGCGTAGGACTATTCCATAATTCCTCGAAATTCCTTAAAATTTCTAGTAATGGAGTTCTCTGTTCATCGTCGAAGTGCTCGGAACTTCCCATAAATTGATCAAAATAAGACTACAGGAATATCTCTAATCATCTTAGAAGTTCTCTGGACTTTATTGAAGATTACGAAATCTCTTAAGTGCTCTCACAATTTTTTTGAATTTATTGTAACATCAGCATTGAAGCTCTCTGATCGTCTTGATTTTTTTAAAGTTATCGACACTGCCATTAAAAAGAATAGAACTTCCCATAAAATGTTCTAACAATGATCAAATGTAAACTTCCCTTACGTTTCCCAAATTTGCATGGACATTGCTGAAGTTCTCGGAAATCACCTGAGTTCCTCGGATTTTTTTTTTATAATTTCAGCAACTTCATTGAAATTAATTGATCTGTCCTGAAGTTCTCTGAGCTTCACAAAAGTTCCTGAAAACCATTAAATTTCCCTGAAGTTCTTTGGACTTGTGAAATTTCCAAAATATTTATGATGTTTCCTTAAGTTCACTGGAGTTCGCAGGACTTTTCTGATATTTCCGGGTTTTCGAATTTCAACAGAAGTTAATAAAACTGTCTTTAATTTATCGAAACCTACACAAAAGTCTGTACTTTTCAGATGTTTCAGAACTTCTTAAATGTGCCTGCAGCTAGTGTGGTTCCGCAATAAAAATCTGATAGCATCCTTGAAGCTCCGGAAAAGATAAAAAAACTGGCGGGAGAAGATGAAAGAATCATTTGAGCGAATACTGAAGAAGCTTCCAAGGTAAGGTGGAAGAAAATTCCAGGGAAAGTTGGATGAAACTTCATGAAGTTTAAAAATGAATAAAAACTTCCGGAAGTTAAATAATGTTTAAAAAAAATATTTCTCGATTCCCCAGGAATTACCGGAAAGAGCCATCGACTATATCTCGATTGATGAGTAGCCAAAAACGGTGAGGAAATGCAAAGATTAGTGGAAAGAGTATCAAGCATAAGGCATCTTTAGATATGATTGTTTAGAATTTTGAAGGTCCAAAAAAAAGGTATTCAAAAAGATACAAGTCTCCCACAAAAATTTTCTCCGAAATTCGAGCGCGGGCAGGCAATAATAATTTTGATTATTAAAAAAAACGGTATAAATCGGTATAAAATCTTAAAAATCGGTATTCTGAGGAACCTTATATGTGTATCGGTATCTAGTTTGAAAATCGGTATAAATACCGATAAATCGGTATATCTGGCAACGCTGATCACAGATTACAAATCCGACAGTGAGCATTAGACTGATGCAAAATTTGACTTTTTCGCTCCACAGTGCTTAAATGGTTTCAAATCGGGTCGTGATTAGCCTCCAAAAGTTACAACTCATTTGGTAGAAACAGACTTCGCACAAACCATTTGAAGTTAACATGTAAATTACTATGGGAAATCTCAACTTTTTGTTCATTGCCTTCTAGTCTTTTTCCATATTGAGCTGCAAAACAGTTCGATAG